ATCTAACAACAGCAATGCCGCCACACCGCCTTGATCCAGATGCCTACGGAGGTAGTCAGTCAGGGCGACCAAAGCCGTCTCCGTCCCATGACCCGGGCGAAAACCAGACTGGAAGGGATCTAGGACTGAAGCATCCTCCAAAAAGCCCTGTAGCTGTGACGCCACTGCCCTCTGTATAAGTTTGCCCAAATAGGGCAAATTGGAGACCGGCCGATAGCTGGCCAATTCAGCCGGGTCCAAAGATGGCTTTTTCAAGAGAGGGCGGACCATCGCCTCCTTGAGTGCTCCGGGGAATCGTCCTTCCGAAAGAGACTTGTTGATAATCTCCCGCAGAGTACCTCGAAACCCTTCATGGCCCACTTTAATGAGCCAGGAGGGGCACGGATCAAGGGCGCATGTGGTTGGGCGCACAGATACGAGCAATCTGTCAACTTCGTCCAGACTGAGTGGGCTAAAATATTCTAAACCTGGAACCGAAGGCGTGCAAGGGGCCTCATGTTCACTTACTGTCTCAATTGTGGCCGGGAGGTCGCGGTGGAGCGCCAAGACTTTATCTGCAAAATAGCTCGCAAAAGCCTCGCAGCCAATGTCCAATTCCCTATCGTTTCGCCTGCCCTGGGGCAGGTCTGTCAGAGACTGAATCGTACTAAATAATTGGGCTGGGCGTGAGCTAGCAGATGCAATGGAGGCCGCATAGAACTCTTTCTTCGCGGCCTTCACTGCCATCTCATAGGCCTTCATAAGCGTCCTATAGGATGTTCTTGATGCTTCGTCGCGAGCGCGCCGCCACCGTCTCTCTAGTCGTCTCAGCTCTCGTTTCAGCTGCCGCAACTCCTGGGTGTACCATGGTGCGTGCCTAGAGTGAGTGCGGAGAGGACGCCTGGGAGCGATCTCGTCGATGGCAGTGGAGAGCCGAACATGCCAGTCCTCCACTAGCTCATCCAACGAGCCACCAGGGGGCCTTGGATCCTGCATCGCCATCTGGAGCCGCAGCGGGTCCATTTGACTCCGCGGGCAAGCATAAATCTGCTCACCGCCCTCAAAGGGTCGGGGTGGTACATTCAGATGGGCCTTCAAGGTCAGGTGGTCCGACCATGGCACTGCCTAAGCAGTGATCCGGTCCACCCTCACCCCCGCCGCAAAGATCAGATCGAGCATGTGACCGGCCCGATGCGTGGGGGCTGATACAAATTGAGAGAGCCCCAGTGCGGCCATGGACGACACTAGGTCCGTAGCCCGGCTGGAGGCCGCGTCCTCAGCATGGACGTTGAAATCACCCTGGACAATCAGTCTAGGGTGATCCAGGCTGATCGGTTATATGGAAGGTAAAGTTGAAGCAAGATAGGCTAGGGTTAAATTCTGTAGACATTGCTGGTGGAGGTGGAGGTGGATCCTCCTGTCTTGTCCTTTCTCCAATTTCTGCCTTTAACCTCAAAATGACAACACTGGGGGGGAGGGGCTTTCATGGAATATAAGGCACACAAAACCTGCAGCTATATTGAGGAGGACAACATGTAGAAATTGCTACTCCTAGCTCCTGCACATTGTGTTGGAGGGGGGGAAAAGCATAGGATTCAACTTTTATTGATTTAAATTAATGCTTATAAAAACCACTACTATGACAAATAGATGAAAGGCACTTCTTTAAACTGGCTCACAGAATTAATAAAATAATAGGAACGAAGTTCCCAGCCTCCCGGCGAAGCCGATGAGGTCTGGGAGCTGTTTTGCCACCCCGGAGGAGCCAAGGCAGCAACAGAATCATGATGTGTGGCGTCGTGATGTGGGTGGCATGGGCAGAGCCGGCTCGGCTAAACCATCGGGCTCTGCTCCCGCCCAAACAGTCGCTGACTCATGCTCAGGCTGATCGGTAGCTCCGAGCACGAAGAGGCAGAGGGACAGCCTACCTTCGAGGCTTCGGGCCCATCGGGAGCTGTTTCCTTAGCCGTGGCTGCAGCAGAGCACTGGGACATCAGTGCACGGCAATGTTCGCGGCTGCGGAGTGCCTCTAGAGGCAGCGGCGGTCACGGCAGCAGGAACCCTTGGAAGCAGGAGGATGACAGCAATGGTGTCCCCTCTATGATCCTGCAGCAGGCCAGGGCATTAGGCGATGGCTAGTTGCGGACCGGGGAAGGGGGTCAACCCATGGTGGCGGAATTTTAAGCTGCCCTTGGTCGCACATGGCAACAGGTGCCTGGGGAGGGAGTCTGGGTGCTGGCAGGAGCACCAGGGTGATCTCTGGCAGCGGCGGAGGTCCCAGGTGCCGGCGTTTTTGGCAGCTGCCATTCAAGACATCTCCCCCCCCCCGGGGTTTCTCAGACTGACTGGGAGGGAGGCCTTATTAGCTGTGGCCTGTAGTGGCATTTTGGGCGTCCCCCCCTTCCTTCCTCCTCATCTGTAGTCAGCCCCCAGCCCTGTTCCCTCAGGCGATTAGGGACAGTTGGGCTGGGGACAGTTGGGCAGCCGCGGGGGGAGGCGGTTTAAAAAAAATTCAAACGGCCAACAGGAGCATTGCCTCAGCCAAATCGTGACGGTTGGGCAGGGAACAGTTGGCTGGCCTCACCCCCCTAGTGTCACGGCAGGACCAGGGGGCGTGACGCAAGCAAGCAAAAGTCCGGGAACAGTCCAAGGTCAAGCCGAGCAAATCAGGTAGCAAGGTTCAAACAGGTTTAAATCACAGTCCAAAAGCAGGGTCAGACATACCAAAGTTTCAAGTCCATAATCACAACGATACCAGAGGAGTCAGAGATGAACGCAGGGTCAACAAAGCTGAGGGTCAAAAGCCGAGGATCAAGCCGATAAGAATTCCACAAGGTCTGGAGCAGAGATGCAAGGATTCAGGTCCTGAACAAACGACATTTGAGGAGTGAGGACAGGATCCTGTCAGTAATCAGGGCTAAGAGATCTTCTGGCACGCATGCGTGCATTCTGCCTTTGCTCTCTCAGCTGTTGTCTTCTTACATTCCTGAGCCTGGTTACAGGTGGAGGCGAGTCTGATGATGAATTACTGGGCTGCAGCAGAGACTGATCCCTTGCAGGTGTTCCCTGGGAGGCTCTATCCTCCTCACCACTTAGATAGCTTTCAGCTACAGGATCCAGTCTTTGCCTTTCTGCTGCAGTACTGTCCTCAGGAGCCTGTAAGTCCACAGGCTCCTGGCTGGCAGGTGCCTCCTCAGGGTCATCAGAAAGGGCAGGCATGACATCAGCAGGGGCAGGCATGACACCTAGCAACTAACAGCTGGAGTGTGAAATAAATAAATAAACGGTCACAGGGAGCATCAGCTTGAGTAAAAGGCTAGGGGGCACTATTTGTTTTTTATGACCCCTAAATATGCATAGGCTAGGAGTGAGGTAGGGGCTTTTTGAGAGGCAAGACCCTGGTGTTGCAAGCGGAGGCCAATCTTGCGATAAGAGCTTGGTGGCCTGGAGTGTAAATAGTCTGGTTGGCTGTTCTGCTTCCACATGAATGACAAAGACATGGTGCTACAAGTGGAGACTGACCTTGCGATGATAAGAGCAAGGTGGCCTGGAGTGCAGATAATTTGGTCGGCTACTCTGCCTCGCCATGAAGGGCAAGGCCCTGGTGTTGCAAACGAGGCCAACCTTGCGATGATAAGAGCAAGGTGGTCTGGAGTGCAGATAGTCTGGGTGGCTGCTCTGCCTCGCCATGAAGGGAAAGGCCCTGCTGTTGCAAGCGGAGGCCAACCTTGCGATGATAACAGGGACGGCCCCATCTTATTTTGCACCCTAGGCGAGGATCCCTTCTGGTGCCCCCACCCTCGTGCCCCCACCAGTTTTCAAGTTGGCGGTTGGGGGTGTATACAAACAAGCGGGGATCAAAAGAAGTGGAGGAAGGGAGAGATAGAACCTTCTACATCTGTGATTCCTGATTTGGTGGAAAGCCCTTTGTGTAAAACCACCAAAATGCCAGGGGAGCTTGGTGGGGGATGGGAAGCACAACGAAGGTAGGGTCTCTTAAAAAAATTAACTGGGGGTTATAGTGTGTGAATTCGAATTTTAATACAACGGTTTGCATTGGAAATGTTTTGCATTCCAAAAGCCTCATTATGTCGACGAATTAGGGCTTTAACGCCCTTTGCTTTCACCTGGAGGAGCTCTTCCAAACGCGCGCACGAAAAGCCTTTAAGCCTGCCTGGCTACTTGGGGATGCGGGAGAAAACCGAGGAGAGAAATGGCCATTCCGGCACAAGTTTCTCAGCCATGTCGTTTACATCTCTCCCCCCCCCCAAAAGCACTTGTTCCTTCTGCACAAGCACTTTTTAGAAGCCTGCACAAACCGACTGCTCTCCACTCACAACAAAGCACCTGGCCTGACCAGCTGCCGCCGCCACCACACTTGCCCTGCTGGGGCGCCGCTTTTAGGTGCGGGAAAGGGGGCCTGTGAACCAGGGGCCACCTCCTCCTCCACCAGGGATGCACAGAGGTGGGCGCCTGCAAGCCACGCCGCTCAGCCGGGGCACAGAGAGGCGGGGCCGGAGGGGGAGAGACTGACCAGGGCGCGGGGGGAGGCTCCAGAAGAGCAAACTCATTGATGCTGCAGCAGCCAAATCGCTCACTCACAGTTTTAATGCCAGGAGCTCACCAAGTAGGATTTTTGCTCACAGGACCCCGCAGCTTAGAGGGAGCATTGGAGGAGACCCCCCCTTCCCTCCCCGCCCCACCCCTGAGCTCCTTGCTCCGTCCCCGCTGGCAGGAGAGTCTCCGAGAGAGGAGGAGGCGGTGGGGGGGGACACACACAGAGAGGTCCAGGGAGCAGCCCAGCAAGGCACCTGGTTATTTTTACAAAAGCCGCCCACCCCTCCGAGCGTGGAGGAGGTTGCAATCTTTCAGTCTCCCCCAAACTGCTTGCTAAGTTTGAAGACTGGAGTTGGGGAAAACGAGAGCAGGGCCGGCCGGGGGGAGAAAGAGGCAGCGGTAGCTGTCCTGATTTCCCTCAGAGAGGACGCTTCTGGGTGCACTTGTCAGGGCCGGGGGGAGAAAGAGGCGGCGGTGGTCCTTGTTTCCCTCCGAGAGGATGCTTCTGGGCGCACTTGCTGGGCCGGAGGGAGAAAGAGGCGGCGGCCACCTAATCACCCGTCAGGGAGATCATGCAGGGCTTTTGGCAGAGGCGGGGGGCTTTTGGCGGGGGGGTGAGTGCAGTTTGGTGTCCTAAGGGCCGGCCCGCCTTAGGCGAATGTCTAGTTCACCTAGTGAGTGAGCCGGCCCTCTATGATAAGAGCAAGTTGGCCCAGAATGCAGATAGTCGGGTTGGCTATTCTGCCCCGCCATATATGGCACAATTCGGGAGACCCTGAAAGGCTATAGAGGGTGGTCTAGGGCAATTTTTGCCGCACCTCGGTATGCGGGTTGAGTGGGCGGAGCCAGCTCGGCTAAACCACCGAGCTCCGCTCCCACCCAAACAGTCACTGACTCATGCTCGCCCACCCTCCTGCCCTGTTCTTAGTGCAGGCTTTTGCTGGTCATCTACTGGGGCCAGGTAGGAATTTTTCACTTTTACCCGGAATTGGCAGATTGGGTGGAGGTGTTTTTGCCTACCTTGCACTGAGAGCAGCGGATTGAAGTGATGGATGTGGTGGTCAGCAGTTAAGTAGGTTGGTCACTTGGCAGGTTGGTGCGGGCAAGAAACTGGAACCAGTGAGCACCTTACGGCATTTTCCCCATTAGGGAACGGGGTCATCAGGAACTGCCTTTGGATTTTCAGGTCCAGGGTGGGGAATGGTGATCACCTCCTCTGGGAACCTCTTAGGGTATGCTCCTCCCGGCAAGTTGTCAGCCTTCAGGGGTAGGCGCTTCTTGGTGGCGACCAGTTTGCTGGGCTGCCAGTCGCGAGCCAGACGAATGCCTCAAGACCGGAGCTGGGTGACCCGCCCGAGAAAAGGGCAAGGAGGTTGGTCAGGGGAATGACATTTGCCTTGCCTGTTCCATGCTCGCTTAGCTGGTCCCTTGCCGCAATGTTGTGTTAAATAGTTAATAAAGTGGCCCTTGTTTACTCCAAACTGTTGTCTGTCTTGTTATTCCGACTGGTGGGGGGGCAATAGCTGGAATGACACTTTTTATTTTAAAAAAGCAATTTCTGTTGTCCTTCATGTGTTTGTAAACAAAATAAGCAATTTTAATTAAATGTTTTTTGTACTTTTTGTATTGCAGAAATTGTATTTTTCTAAAATCTTACGTTTTTGTGTGTTAAACATAAATAGGTCAATGTTAAAAGAAATTGGTCCTCCAAAATAATTGAATTATGTTGTCAGATAATACACCTCAGTGTGAAATACTTACTTTATGGTGTGCTGTTTTTACTTTAAAACTATTTCAGACCCCCTTTAAAACATTTATTTCCTGTAGACACTCCCTAAGATTCTGAGCCAGACAGCTCCAGCATTCTGCATGAGCAGCTGCAGTTTTGTGGTGGAAAAGTCTAAAGAATCTACAGCACGTGTTGTAGTCTGGAGAGAGATAGGTGTTCAGAGAAGTTATACCATGGAAAGCACATTGTGTGGATGTGATCAAGGGAAATACAAGGTACAACTTCTAGTGAAAAGGAATGCAACATCTATGTTTCTAACATTTTTGGATAATCTATATATCTAATAGTGACATGTGGCCCCTATTTGTGGATATCTAAATCCGCAGATCAGGATTGCACTGATGCCAAAGAGATTTTCCTGCAAACTTGGGCAACCCCCCAGGTTTGCAGAAAAGTCAGAAATCACACAAAAAACACCACCCTGTAGAGTTGGTGACAGATGCTGCTGGGAGCCTGTCTGGGCCCAGAGCAGTTCCCAGACTCTGTTGCTCCTGCAGCCAAGCCCAGAGGCTTGGAGCCATACCTGGCTCACCAATAAGGAAGCCACTCCAGGCCCAGAGCAGCTTTCTGACACCACAGGAGGGGGAAGAGACAGAGAAGGGAGAGGGGTAGAAAGGGGGGGGGATAGAGAAGGGGGTAAGTTTACAGAGAAGGGGAGGGGGAGATTGATGGAGAAGAGCTGGGGGGGGGCAAAAGAGAGTGGGGAAGGTTGAAAGATAAGGGGAGGGGGAAGTTGGTTAGAGAAGAGGGAGAGGGAAGGAAGCAAAAGGATGCACCCTCCCTGTATATTTCTTGCAGGTTCTCACTTGTATCATCCTAGTACCTTAGCTGAATTCTCTTTAAGACCTTTTTTGCAATACATATTGTCAGAAACATAGAAAGACAGATAACAGGATTTTTCTTTCTTTTCTTTTTTTTGAAACCCCCGGAGGGATATTCCCCCCCCCAATATGACTACAAACTACAAAAAAATATATAGGAAGGGGAACTACAACTATGGATAAAGGAAAGATACCCACACTAACTAAAAACCCAAGAGTGGGAGACCCCCTTTATGTTAAACTTAATATTAGTATTAAAAGAATTAGTAAAACAATATACTTGTAGAGTTCTTGTTTTCCACATTGTTCTGTATTAGTAAATTAGTTATTATGAGAGAACTTTCTGAGCATCATCTTTGTTTCAAAGGGCCATTTATCAGAGTCCTTCTGCCCTTACTTCGGCTTTCTGTCTCTAAAATCATATACAGTTTTCATTGCTCCCGCACCCACTTCTGCAGCAGAGTCCTCATCCGTTCCCGAGGCAGCTGAGTCACTTGACAGTTTCTTCCTCTTTAAAGTCTTCCCCTGATCCCAGCTGATGTCTCAAGAATTCTGGAGTCTATCTTCTCCCTTCTATCGTTGATTTTAAAGATGACACCTTCAGGAATCGCCCACCTGTACTGTATACCGTTTGTTTGAAGAAAAGTAATTAACTCCTTGTAGCTCTTTCTCTTCTGGTGAATTTCAAATGGAATGTCTTTTAAAGTCTTGATCATTGTATTCCCAAATTTCAGTAGAGTTGCTGAAGTTGCCTTTAATATAGCATCTCTGGTCTGTCTTCTTGCAAATCTCACCACAATCTCTCCAGGCAGGCTATTTTTAAAAATATAATTGGAGTAAGCCCTATAAGCTGTCTCCATGTCTTTTATTATTTCCTCTGCTGGCAAGCCTGTCACTGGAGTGATAATCTCACCCAGAGTCTTTTTCAAATCTTCTTTTTCTGTCTCAGGAACCCCCTGGAACCTGAGAATCATATTAGCCTTTTCCATTTGCAGCTGCAACAAACGATTTTCTTGAAGATTTTGTTTCGTTTCCACTTCACCCATTCTTTTCTTCATCTTCTTGCTTGAGGTGTCTATCTCTAACTTTCTCAGCCACCAGCTCCACTTTTTTTCCATTTCTGCCAGCTGTCGCTGTTGTGAAGCGAAGTTTTGATTTAATGAGGTCAGTTGCTGGTTAATACCATCAAGCTGATCCATCACTGGCTTGAGCATATCCCCTAACAGCTTCATGACGTCAGCTCCCTCTTCCGACCTCGGACTCTGAGGCTTCACTTTAAACTTTCCTCGTGATGCCGCCATTTTTCAACTTTGTTTACACTTTCAAATCGCTTCTCTCGGGCTCGAAGCACTCATCAATTCGCTATTTGCACTCAAGTAAGTCTCTCAAAATACACATGCTGTCTGTTTCCTCCCACTCCCCCTTTGCTGCATTTATCTGTCCTTGTGCTTCAGAGGCGTCCCTCTTTGCACTCCGCTTTTCCCACGGGGAGGGGGGGTACTGTTTATCAAAGTCCGTTTACTTAGAACTCACGTTCATTGTTGGTTACATTCCTGACATCACTCACATCAGTCGTTGTTTCGCTCGGTCTCTCCTGCTTGTCCCGGTCAGGTTAGCTTGTGCCCTAAGGCCACTCATCGGTAGGACCTTCAGAGCGGAGGGAAGCCTCGATTCTCTGGCAGCAAGCCGTCAAAGAGGCTAACCCTCAAAGCTCTCTGGCCTGGAGCCTTTCACAAAGACTCCGTGGGAGTGCCACTTGAGGTGGTACCCCTCCATGCCGATGGTGTGCTAATCGCCTCCCCAAGCTCTGGGGAGAGCGACTGCCATCACCAATCCATAGACCGGAAGCTCTGATAACAGGATTTTTCTGTTTTGTTCTGTTGATCTAAGGTTTTATTCTGTATAGTTTTAACAGGACACAGTATACTGGGAATTAATATTTCAATGGATTAGATCCAACCAGCATTTTTACTAGTGAAAAACTAAAATGGCTACTATGAGAATCATGAGGCCTGGGTCACAAAAGCCATATGAAGCAAGGGTTGCAGTATGTAGGGGAATTGAACTGAATGAAAAAGCTGGCTGGATTCAACCCAATACTTGCTCTGTGCATCAGACATCATTGCTATTAACTAGCCATTCAGAATATGTATTCTCTCTACTTAGGGTTTGCAGATTGGGACACGTGAGCTTGAAGAGATGGGAGCTAAATTCTGTTCTGCTTTACTGCGTTTGAAAAGATTGACATCGCCACTGGAATACAACCTACCACCTAGCCTCTTTGACATTGAAAATGATTTGATTGAGTCCAGTTGTAAAGTAACAAGGTAGTTCAAGTTGAATGTTTTTGGTTTTCTAAACAACTTGATCAGGAGGAGCTTCCTTAGCATGAAAGTAATTAAGATCACTGGCATATTCTCTGGCAAATGAACATTTTAAAGAAATGTAACAAATAGCAACATTAGTAAACACTTTCATCTGGATCCAGAAAGAAGTGGATTGCTCCTACCATACATGAGAGACTGCACAGTTACTGTGTACATGTAGATACTGTGGAACATAACTGGATTGCTGCATGCACAATTCTAAATCTGCTCCAGGATTTTGTATTAGGCGCTCTGTCTAAAGTATAAAAACCCTGTCATGTCAGATTTTTGTATAATATGTATGTATTAATATTTATTCAGTTTAAGTGTTTTTAAATCTAAAATTGAAGGCTGAGGACAAGATTTTTTTCAGAGGGAGGTTTTAATTATTGTTTGGTTTTTGAGATTAATTTTGTAGAACTTAGTGGCTAAATATTCCTATTGCTGAATTTCTTTTTTGGACAAGTTGGTGAAGCTGAGCTTCTTACCAGGAAGGGGAGGCATTGCCTTCTTTGGCTTGGTACACTTGCATTTCGAACTTTTTGCTCTCCTCATACCTTATTATGGTGAAGTTGTCCTTCTTGTTCCCTCTTCACATACTATGACCAGGATTATTTGTGATCTGTAGCATCCCTATCTGTATTATCCTGCCACTAGGTTGAATTTTGTATGGTGTTTGCTATACAAAGTGATTGATTTTAGAAAACATACAGTATACTCCTCAGTATCCTATCAGGAAGGTAAAGCTACAGTGAAGAAACTTGTGGTATTGCAAATTATGTCCTTTAGATTCAATTATAAAAATTGTTTTCTTTGATTTATTTCTGTTACTTATACCCTGCCCTTCTGTGTTGTACATAGCACAAAAGGTGGCTAACAAATATAAACTTGTATTCTGAATACATTGTAATATGAATAAACTAAGCATCAGGAGATGAGAAGTGAGGGAACCAGATGTTCCTCTTGGGACAAGGAATTCCTTGTTCTGAGTTCACTGACTGAAATTTGTGTGTCTTGCATACCTTTTGGTTGACTTACTCTGAGTTTTGGTTGACTTACTCTGAGTGGACAAATAGCAGGAAGGGAAAGGGTTAAGCTCCTCCCTGCCCATCATTTCTCTGCTCAACTGAAAAATAACAAGATGCAAGGTACAGCATTTATTTAGCTCTTATGGATCTCTACACATTTCACTATGAGCTTTGTCAGGGGATCTATTATAAAATACAACATAAAAACAAATTCATTAAAATTTGTTACAAATTAATACTCTCTACAGAATATAAAATGCACAAATGAAGTCTGCGCATGTTATAAATTGGCCTTATAAGATTCCTATAATTATATCTAAGTCTGCAACACAATTCTCTTCTATAATAAACAAGAACTCAAGGGAACTTATTTTTATACATTGTTAAAATTAAAATGGTAAAAAAATGACACAGTGGCTTACAATGCTCCCTCTAAGCTGTGGAGACTTGTGAGCAAAAATTCTACTTTGTGAGCTACTGGCATTAAAGTTCCAAGCGAGCGATTTGGCTGCTGCATAAACTAGTTTGCTCTGAAGCCATCCTTCCTGAGCTAAGACAAAAATGTGTGAGCTGGAGGCTAAAAAACTGTGAGCTAGCTCACACTAACTCATCTTAGAGGGAACACTGGTGGCATGCCTTCTACAGAGATTTTTCAGCTCCCACCTTGAACAGTAAGGTGAGCAAGGTAGACCTGGCCATATTTGATAGCCAGGTATGATGTAATGCATCCATTCACCCTTTAACCCTTAGAGGACTGATGGTTTCAAAAATGCTTAGTCACCATGACTAGATATGTAAAGGAGGTCCAGGGTCTCATTTAGTCCAAGAGGGACCAAAGATCTTAATCTGAGTATCCACTCTCCCTCCTTTCTCATTAACAAATTGTCATTCTGGCCTGGTACTTTTTGCATAGCCCAAAAGACAATATCTGTGAGCGTATGTTTACATTCTATAAAGTATGAAACCAAGGGTGCTCCAGTTACTCCCAAAGATATGTTACTTTTATGTTCACAAATACATGTTTTTAAGCACCTTGAGGTTTTTCCTATGTAAAGTTTGTTACATAGGCACCTGATGGCATATATCACTCCTTTTGAGTTGCAGTTTATGAAACTTCTTAATTCATACTGTCCTCTATCAAGAGGGTTTGAAAATCCTTTAATATTACATGTAAATTTACATTAGGAACAATTTTCACACTTGAAATGACTTGAGGGTGAATCTATACCCAGTAAAAGTTGTTGTTTGTTATTTTTAAGAGAGGTATCACTATGGACCAGTAAATATTTGAAATTGGAGTTCCTTTTAAAACAGATTATAGGCTTATATTCACAACCAGAGATACCATCCAATATATTCCAGTTATGTTTTATGCTTTTTGAGAGTCTGACCATTATTGAGTTAAGAGATAAATGGCAGGCCAGCCTGTCAAGATCAGCTTTTCTGCTGGTTTGGAGAAGTTGCCATCTGTTTTTTGTGAGGGCTAGGATAGCCTCTCTTTTCCAAGGTATCAATTAAAACTGAGTATTCCCTCTGGAAATCTGAGGTGTCAGAACAGTTTCTCCATAATCTCAAAAATCCTGCCTATGTTGTGGTTTAAAAATTGTCTATAAGGTAAGTTCCTTCTGATATGCAAGGGATGATAACTGTCAAATTTTAGCAGCGAGTTTTTATCAGTAGGTTTTTTATAAAGTCTGGTAGATAATTTTGTGCCATCAAGATACACCATGATGTCAAAAAAATTAGATGTCTGTCGCTATGTAGGTCAAATTTTATATTGAAATCTTGTTGGTTCAGCCGTATGGAATTTTAACAGCTATGATTGATTCCCTGCCCATATAAGGCGGATGTCATCTATGTATCTCCACCACTTAAAGATACAGTTTATGAGGGGATTTTTGTTAGAGTATACAAATCCTTGCTCAAAAATTTACATATATAAATTGGCAATCTCAGGAGCCGTGGGGCATCCCATAGCAATCCCTTTAATTTGCCAATAGAATGTATGGTTGAACGTAAAGTAATTCCTTGTCATGGAGATATCAACAAGCTCTACCAGAAAGTTGGTGGATGACATTGCTTCATTTTATGTAGTCTTTTCAAGTAGTTCTAAGGCCTCGTCCTGTGGAATGCTGGTGAATAGAGATACCACATCTAAAGATACCAGAAGTACCTCCATTCCAATTTTACCTATTGCATGTAATTTATTTATAAACTCGGTTGAATCTCTTATCTATGTCTGTATCAATGGTATAAATGATTTCAAAAAATAACCCCCATATTTGTAAAGTGGTTCCAAGACTGAGTTGCAGCCTGAAATAATGGGTCTAACCAGGGAGGGAAGTGATATTCTTATGGATCTTAGATGAAGTAGACAGTATTAATTTTTAATATATTTTAATGAATTTGTGTTTCTATGTTGTATTTTATAATAGATCCCCTGACAAAGCTAACAGCAAAATTAATTTGTGTTGGGAGAGTGTTTATGGGTCACCTCTATAGCACCTACTTTGATCTTAAACAGTCTACATATAAATGTATATAATTCTCTTACCACTCTAATGCTTTTTTGGTTCCAGTTTAGTTAAATTCTTTTTAACGTGGTATTGCTGGGGATTATTTGCCATGCTAATGGGGGTGAGGAAGTATGCAGATCATTTCAGTATAACTGGCTTAAAACCTTCTTCGCGGTATTCTTGCTCTAGCCCCACTACATATGTAATGGAAGAAGATGAGCCTCGCTTCCTTGAAGAAGTGGATTATAGTGCTGAAAGCAATGATGAGCCAGATGTTGAATTGACAAATAATGCTGGTGACTATGAGCCCAGTCTTCAAGAAGATGGACTTTCTGACTCTGAAATTACAAGGACACATTTGCCTTAAGACATCCTTGAAACACAAAGAAGAAATGAAGTATGGTGGCTTTTGGAAGATGGATGGGATGGATTCTATAACTTTGCAGTTTTGCTCAAGCAAATTGACTTCAGTCAGTCTGGTTGAAAAACAATAAATGTTCTGGCTTTTAAATTAATTGACAGCTGATTTATTTTAAGAGTCTGGTTTTCATCTTTTGCACTGATATGGCTTTACCTCTTGACTGCCTGGTAAATATTGTTGCATGGCTTTTTGTCTTCTTCATCCCTATAATCAACAAATTGCATCAGAAGCTATTGGTGGTCAGAAGGCAGAAGCTAAACCTCATTCTTTGTGATACTGTCTAAGTTAGTTACTAAACACAAATACACTTTTATTAAAATATGTTTGTTTGTGTGTGTTGACAATTTTTTCTTAAATGTTTGCAGTACTGTAGGAATTGGTAAATTTTGCAAAGCTGAACTAAAGAAAATACATGTACTGTACATGTATATATCTTGAGCCTTAAATACAATGTAATTACATAGTTTTACTATACTCTTGATTTGAACCAGACTGTGATACTGACAATGCAAGCCTAAACAGAGTTACATCCTTCTAAGTCTAGTGAAGTCAGTGGGATTAAAAAAGATTCAGCTCTGCTTAGAATTGCACTGAGAATTTACCCTTCAAAAAATAAAAAAATAAAAACTTGCACAAAGGTAACTAGCATGTTAGAGAGAAAGTTTGGGTAGGATCTCTTTATCCCAATACTGAGTGTCTGTGTATGGGAATTACTGTTTTTCAATGGAGGCACAGTCAAGCATATAGTCAACTACCTGCCATCCAGACATGGGTTTATCAATTCTTCTGATATATGTGAGAATAAAAGCTAATATACTTGTGAGAATCATGGTTTTATATATTCGTAAAATATAATCTAAGGTACATACTCAAATTTTCCTCCTGCAGTAAATAGTATGAAAACTGGCATATATTATTGCTAAGCATAACTATAAACATTACATTGTATATATACTTAGTGACTTACTTGCTAATTTCTTTATTTAATATGCATATAGTCAAAATGAGTTCTATGTGTTCTGGATATGTTGCTGATACTGTTCTGTGTATGTTAAGGAAGGATGGTGGTGTGTGTCTGGACTGAAGCTTTATGTAAATTAAATAATATTGAAATTTATTTCTGATGTGATCCAGAGAACGTGAAGTATGTTTGTGTCTAATTCTGAATGTGGCACTAGCAGTGCAGTTCCTATACAGAGCCATTGTACAGGGTGTAACTGTGTTTAGGATGGCCAGAAGCATGCATATACTCAAGATGCTCATAAATTCAATAACTCTTGCATATACCTAACTTCGTCAGATTCTGCTTTTTGTCATTTTCCCTAATATTGCCTAATGATTTTATGAATCAAAGCAGATATGAAAGCCATACAAAATAGCTGATTCTGAAGGGGGCAGTTCTGCATGTGTAGTGCTTCCTGGATAAGTCCCATTTTCAGAATTTCACCCCTCTCCACCTTTTCTTATTTTGAAGGAGCAGTAGGAGTGGAGTTTGCTTGGATTCATTTCATAAATCAGAACAGACTCCACAGGAAAAGGTGAATAGTCTAATTTTGTGACTTGCTGAGCAAAACAAGTACCGTTGTTGCTTGTTTTGATTCCCCTACTCCAAAGAAGTACTTCACAGCATAAACTAAAATTGTTAAATGGAGCATTTGAAACACTTTGAACATAATTATAACAGCCAATAACTAGTGAATTGGTTCAAAACAAATACAGTTTATGTACTCCATAAACAACTTTGTTACTTAATGCAGCAATGCAAGGTGCTGTTCAGGTACTTATTTGCAGCCCCAGCACATCTAGCCATCCTTAAACTCCAGATTATGCAGGGGCTATTCCCTCAATGAGGGCATGTGGGGTATACAGCTCCCAGCAGGGGTGGATGGACAGGGGCAGGTTGAAACATCTAAATTAAGCAAGGCACTCCCAGAAGCAGATGCAGGCATTCTCTGGACTTCAGAAGGAAGGTATTGAAGGAGCAACCTGCAGTACCCTGCTTACCCTGAAATTA